AACTTTGATAAAGAATATCTCTTTGGGTTTGTGACTTTAGTCTTTGCAACTTCAGGGATCTTATCTATGCACAATCAGCTTGTAACACTCCAAAGAGAAAGGAAAACTTGAAATCGCATCATATGACCCCTTTAAGGTAAATAAAAATAAATGTCTTTAATCCCCACATCGTTTGGGGAAGTTTGTAAGCATGCTCCCAAGTGAAATTATTAAAAAATTCTTATGTTCCCATATATGTTTGTAAGAACATCTTATGAAAATATTCTTCAAATTAAGTAATTTCTTAAAATAATCTAAGAAGTTTGTTAGAAAGTGTAATTCTTGAATTCTTAAAAAGTTCTCAAATATTTTCTAAAGACGTTTTTTTTTCTTAAGGCGAAAATGACAAAATACACTTGAAAAAGCCATTCTTTTCGCTACCAGATTACTGTAATATAAACATAAGCATAATAAGCGTGCACAATATATTCATTCCAGCTGGCTTGACGAGTATTTTTAAAGAGTCTTCCTCAAGACGGAGTGTTTTGGGTTTTTTAGATAAATTGGAGGTTATCCTAACTTTAAAATATTATTTTCGGTGATTTTAAAAGCATTTACATGATTAAGAACAATCTTAAGAAAATGGAAAAGAACATTCTTTGGAAACGTTTTTGGGAATACGAAATATTCTTAACTTTATTCTTTATTTATAAAATAACATGTTATGAAGACTTATGTGATTCTGGCTTAATTTTGGAAATAGATTAATTCTTAAAATCAGCTTGAAACGTTCGCAATCCCATTTAATAATGAAATGTGACATATTTCCAAATAGAACTTAAACCGAATGGGACTTCTTTTTTTATTAATCAGGGATTGATTGGATGGTGAAAAGTGTTTATATGATGACAAAAGCAGAGCAAGTTTTATTTTAATTCCACAGACAAATAACTTTGTTCAACAAATCGCTCATATTGGAGTACATTTTTAAGCAGTCGATTTTAATTTCTTGTTTACTTCTGCCTGAGACGTTTTCTTGCACTTCTACCTACAGTAAGTCCTTATTGTGGAATCGTAACTCTTGCCAGGCAGCTCCAGTGGAGTTCCTTTTTCTGCCAAACCTCTGCCAGAGCCAAACTGTGTGTTTTTATGAGATCTGTCATAAACTCTCTGGGCGCTTGGCATGAACTGACTCTCTGTTCTCCCTCCCCAACAGCCCTTCCACCCCATGGTGAACCTGCAGTGCTCTCCAGACCTCAGGCCGTTCCTGTGTGCCCTGTATGCGCCCGTGTGTATGGAGTACGGACGCGTGTCTCTGCCATGCCGGAGCCTGTGCACGCATGCTAAGAGAGACTGCCAGAAGCTCATGGACATGTTTGGAGTCACCTGGCCGGAGGAGATGGAGTGCAGCAGGTACTCATTCAAGAGTTTTTCTTCTTCTTTTTTTAATGGTAATTTAAGGTAGTTTTCGAGAGAAGGTACAGAGTGTACATTTCACAGTGTGTCAGATATAATTGCTACATAATTGCTCAGCATTTCTGAAGGTAGATTGTGCTGTAACGGTTGAACATGTTTATTCTTAGACATATTTAATAGAACATGTTTTCTGACTAAAATGGTGGTTTAAGCAAATGCAGATGTTCGAGCTCATCTCCACCTTTAATCTCCAATAAAAAACAATCATTCTGAAGAGGGAAAAATATGCTCGCAATTCAAACCAAGTTGAAATAAGTCTGCAGTAGGGTGTTCCTCACCGGTTAATCGATCGTGTGACAACACCGGTAATACCGGTATCACCATTGGGGTGGGGGTGTTAGTTCGTTTGAGTTTCCCTCTTTTCTTCGCTTTCAAATGGCTTGTAAAAGTGCCGTGCGCATTTTACTTTCACTTTCAAATTAGCGCAATTGAATTGCCGCAATTCGGCGTCAAGCCATTGTTCGTTTGAATTTTCCCTCTTTTCTTTGGATTTCTTGGCTTTCAAATAGCTATAAAATAAATAAAATACACAAAGTTTAAATAAAGTAATCAGCAAACACTGTGGAACCAAATAAATAAGAAACGGATGTTTAAATAAACTTCCAGTCAATAGGCTTTTCAAAATCTAAAATAATCCAAACAGGCGCCTTTGCATTTCCTTTCTAAACAATCTTCTGCCATCGTCTTGTCTTTCTCACCTCACTCTTGTCAGTCAGCTCGACTCACTCTCCTCACGTGATAAATAAAATCTGACTCCTGCTCCGTGGTGCACCGTCATTCGCGCACGGTTCGGCACACTGCATTGAGTGTTTAGTTTTTAAAAGTGTCTGTCCTCTAACTGAACTAGGCTAAATGATTTTTGTTACTATAAAAAAATCTA